GCGCGTTTCCGGTCGCCCCCCCCCCCCGCGGGATGTTTAGACGTCCGCGGAAACGACCGTTGGTGCGTGCGAAATGTAATTTTTGTCGGTTCGGGTGTTTTATTATTCTAATCGTTATATTTTACGTTTTGTTGCCGTGACGTGAAAACTTTACGGTTTAAGCTCGACCTTACGCGATAGGTATAAGTCAAACGCGCTGTACGCCCACACGAAGTTTATATTATAACGGCACATGTGGTAGACATTTTTTTTTTTTTTGATTTTTCGAATATTATATTATTATCGTTACCATTTTTTATTCTTTTTTAAATATATAATTTATTTTTATTTTATAGATCGTATTGTCTTGTTTTTCCTTTTTGTCCCCCGTAGATTACCTACGTACAATGTGTACGACACGTAATACAATCGGTATTAAATAAAAATCTACATTACACGTGACAAATATTAAAATGCGTTGACGAACAAATTATAATATGGTAAATAATTATTGTTAACCAGAGTTACGAACATTTCAAGGAACTTACAATAGTATGAAAGACAATCTGGTTAAACATAATCTATTTATTTTTAATTATTTTTTGATTTTGAGAAATTATAATATGTTTCTTTTGTCAATAATCAAAAATAATGATGAAGAATATTAATTGTATAGAATACCCTTAAAAATTACTAACTATCTATAATCTTTGTACACAACACTCTATAATATGTAGCAAGGAATTTTCAAGATCGTGTTTCAAAAATATTATTTATTATTTTATGTGATTAGATCAAACTTGATGAGACAATTTATAAACATTAAAATATTATATAGTAAGTATAAAAAAAGTTAATTAGTTAAGTATGAGTTATATTCCATGAATTTGAATATTGCACTGCGAATGAAGTATATATTATATAATATAATCATTATTTAAATATGCTACATAATATAATTATTATTTATTTATTATATTAGAACCATACACCGTGATTTAAAATCATTTAATCTAAGTAAATAAATAGATAAAATTTAATCATTGTAAACAATATCATATTTAAAACAATTATGTTTAGTGACTATAATAATGTGGTTAAGTGGTTGAGAGACGTACAGGCTGTTTTGTCTGAGTAACAGGTCGTCGGCGATCAGCTGATGTAGAATTGTTTTCTTTATTTTTAACTGCAAACTGAAACAACAATTAAAAAAAAAAATAATGTTACCATATTTGCATTAATATACTTTTACTGAAAAAAACTGTTCTAATTTTTTTTTTTTTTTTTTTATCATACTTCATTCTTGTGAGCATAAATACATTTCGTGAATTTAAAGGCTTTTTCACACTGATCATTATCAACTAATAACATACAAATACACTTAATTATTATTTATGTAATTTAAAATCTGAATATGTTTCATATGTACATGCCTTGTTTTTCGCATATTGCTATAGCTCTTTTCATATTAGTTGGAACTTCACTATTGATATTGGGTTTTGCCATCAATTGCTCCAATTCCTTATCATTGTAACCTCCATTCTTAGAAGTCTGAATGAAAAATACATTTTTTTAACAAAAACAACAATTTTAATTAAATTACAAATAATACCGATGGTATTTAAAATTAATATAAAAACATTCGTTAGTCATAAATTATAAATTTACATATTTTTTAACTAGTTTAATATGATTTTAATGACAATGTTAAAAAAATTATTTTACTGAATTTGATAATGATGATTAAAATATATGTTTTTAGGCATTCAATTATTACCGAATTCAAATTTGAGTAACACAGCGGAAACTTTATTAATTAAGCTCCGAAATTAATGTCGTAAAGCTTGAAAAATAAGAAGCGTTTGTATGGTTAATAGCTAATAATGTTTATACCTGTATGTAGGCATGTAGCCATATAAGAATCTATACAACATTTTGTAAAAATGTGTTTTTAATATATCATACTAATATAATTAAATAAAATAATAAATATTTTACTTAATACGATCTAATCTATCTCTTAGAAATTTGAAGGTTCCAATAAATATTTAAATATCAAATGGGAAAAAATCAAAACGAATTCATAATTTAAATCTCGTATGATAAATATTAAATATATAGTCAAAATATTATAGTAAAACATTATAAACTAGTAAGTAATAATAATAATAATTTAACAAACCACATTAAATCGCAACAACATGCAAGCGACATAACATTTTGCTCTTCGGTCATCTATATTTAAAGTATAAATTCCCAATACTCTTTCTAAACATAATACAAATTTATTATATAATAGTTAAGTAATAAATTAGAATTTTTAATGGTGTTTTAACACATTTGTAAGTATCCGCGTATTAAATATTTGTAGTTTGCGAATAAGGTAAAAATCAAAATGTAGGTACAATATAAATCACACTACATAGAAACAAACATATATTACTGTAAACTTAATTCACCTAAATATATTTACCTGGAGTGACGCGATGTTCTTTCAAGCATTCTCGTGAAATATTTCCAAATAATCTATTAAATTTTGGTTGAGATCTTTTTGTCGTTTGTTGACCCTGAAAAAAAAATTAACAATCAAAATAAAAATAAAAATATAATAATTTTTATTGTACTATACTCTTTATAATTTTAAAATGAAATTCATAATACTTTTAAATTCGTTGATGACATTTTAATTTTTATAATGCGTACTGAAAATTATGATACGATTTTTAGCCCTATTTCATTTTTTTAATTTTTGAGCTTTAACTGTCAATAGTACAATTAAACTCATAATTATAGAATATAGTATAAGCACTGTGTAGCGTCTAATTATCAGTTTTAAATGAGACAAACAATGAATAATAAAAGTAAAAATAATATAACTATTTATTGGTATTTAAAATTATAGAAAATGTTAAAGCTAATTATAAAAATATAATAGAGTTTTATATTAACCTTTAAATTACATATTAATGTAATGAAAACAGTTAATACGATTAAGCAACAAATCTTCATTTTTTAATTTTATTATAAAACACCACACTGCAAGTATATATGATTAAAACATACAGAGTATAATGACTCGATTTTTCAGTTTTTTCTATCAATTTTTCGTATTTGTGTGAACTGTCAGATACTTATCTATTTAATAATTTCCGTTCTATAATATTATATACGTATATGTAATTGATGTTATAAAAATAACATTTCCAACATATGAACCAATTTAAAATAAATAGCCCCGGATGTCGGGAAGTTACATATTCGCTTTTGTGAAATTTATGAAAAAATAACCCACACACACACTACCTTGATGAACTCATTATTCAATACCAAGTTTTTATTTTATATTATTATAATATTTTTTGATACTCTTGGTATATTTTGAATATAATTATGAATGTATTATTAGTTGTTTATATTCAAAAGTACAAGTTAGATATCTACAAATAATAATAAAAAAATAAATATATTAATTTTTTGAAATGATTTGTGATTTTATTATTGTTATTTTGTATTAAAAGTACTTATTATTTTTAGTTTGTCTTACTGACGTTAAAATAAAAACTTAATAAAATACGATTTAATAAAGATAACAAATGAATATAATATATAAACTCTCCTAATAGTAAGCTCTTAAATATCAATTTATTACATACATTTTATTTTTATTTATATTCTATAATGATAATATTTCTCAATTTAATAATAACTATAATTTTATTATTACAGATAAAAAAAAAAATATATCACCTTTTCCCGCGCCTCAAAAAAAAAAAGTTTGTTTAAACCTGTGCGACTCTCTGGACATCATGGTTTCATGATTTCTAAAAAAATGGCTCTTTCCTATGAAAAGGTTCCCAACGCCTAGTATAGGAGATATTTAAGCCCTCTTGGATTTGTAATAACTTAAATTATAAATTAAAATCGTATTATTATTATTATTTAATGTTTACAATAATATATACATACAAATTTAAAAAAAAAAAAGTCGATCTATAAATTTTAATAAATAATAGAAAAATAACAACATAGATTTTATTTTGTTGTTACAACATAGATGATAAATCAATTTCTTTTTCTTTGAGCCTATTACCACAGTCAAGATCTATAATAAAATAAAAAAAAACCATTAAATAAATAAAACGTATCTTTAAACTTAATCTTATAAGTTATATTATTATTATATGAACGTATCTACAAATTAAAAAAAAAGTATTGTTTATTTTTTGATCTGAATAATTTATAATTTTTTGCATTATGAATTTTTTTTTATTTTTGGTATGAGAGTTTTTATTTATTTTACAAGAGCTTATATAATTCTTTAAAACTCCCTTACAAAGAGCGTTAATTTTGGTTTTGGTATTTTTTTTCACGTTATTACGTACTAATAGTTTTTAAATAATTGTATAATATAATATATCATACACTCTTATAACTTGCGATTTATATGGTTTTATGATACAAGTGGGATTCACAGTAAACATGGATACAACTTCTCGGTCTAACGGGTTTCACGAAACAGCTGTAATACGAGTATGAACACATCTTTCAATCTTGAAGGGTTCAAAAATCGTGCGACATGTTACCATGGATACAGTGCAACGTACTATATACAAACGAATACTGTAACTAAACATAAATTAACTGATACTAGTGTATTGAGATCCTACTATCCTAGCTGTACTATCACTATTAATTGTTTTGAATTTTGATCATTATCATATTATATCAACTAACTTACATGACTATGATTATACTCGTACACTTTAATAGTTTATAAAACAAAATAAAATATACAACCGTTAATTTATTGATTTGTTTTTTTGTTTTTTTGTTGTTTTTTTATTATTATTATTAATTTATTAATTATTATTGTTTGATAAGTTACTGTCCTATACATAATGTCTACACCAGAAGATATCAAAAACTCTCTGGAGGAAAATATAAATCCAGAAGAAAAATCTGACACGATCGAAAAGTTTGACAAAATCTGAGAAGTTGCAACTAATTATTTTTAATTTAAATTTAATTTTTATACAGTGACTTGCCATTGGAAAAACTATTAAAATTATCAAAATCATTCAAGACTGGCGTCGATGAAAATTTGAATAAATTTAAGGTGACTGCAATTATTAATTATTAAATTATACACATTATGATTATGTTTATTGAGATCATTCATTCAATCTTGTACATTTTTTTTTTTTTTTTTTTTTTTTTTTTTTTTTTTATTTAAAAATTTTTTTTTTTTTTTTTTTTTTTTTTTTGATTTATTAGAATGAAAAAATGTCTATGATTAACGAAATGTCTAGTATGAATTGTACACTAATACCAAATGAAAAACATATCGAAATAAATGAATCTAAAAAGCGATCACTGGATAAACCCAATAAGGTTTGTGAATTCTTGTTGTATTTATAATAATGTATAATAATAGTAAACATATCTTAATTTTAATGAACTTTTAATTTAGGAGGATTCCGAAGATTTGATATTGGGAGAAAACTATAAAACGGTTAGAGTTTTAGAACAAGAATTGAAAAATGTATTAGATTCATTTGATATTCAACGCAATAAAAACGAAATAAAACAATATCTGCAGGTTAGCAGAAGTCATAATAAATTATCATAAAGTATTTTAAAAATATTTTTAGGAAAAAGAAAACGATGGTATGTGTACACCGCCTGTAGAAAATAAAACCAGTGAACTGCAAAGTATAAACTTTGATCAAACTAGCAATGAAAAAATGAATTATCTTAAGAAGGCCCTCGAAGTAGAAAACAAATGCCAATATTGGATGGATAAATATGATGAACTACACGATAAATATTTACTACTGGAATCCAAACGTGTTCACATCGAAAAAGAAAATTGTAGTAAGAAACAATGCGATCCTTGATTACAGATTATACTATTAATTTTTTATGCTCATGAAATTTTTTTAGTGAATAGTCAAATAACATTAATTAATCATATATGGGTTTAGTAATATATTGTACTAGATCAATATCAAATATAGAGGACATATTTAAATTCAAATAATATTAATTCAACTTTTAAATTTGTATTTTTTAAATTTAAATAAAAATTTAATATTCAAATAAAACAAAATATATTATTTATGGATCACTAATTTTATATATTTTTATTTTTTTAGCAACGAAATAATAATTTATAATTTTATCCATAACTTTTATTTTTAAATAAAGTCTTGTATACTGTGGTAATATCAGTAGTGTAAAATACATTGGGAGGACGACTTTACCACATCAAAAAGTTTAATTTCTTGTAACTATTTTCTTGAACTTATAATTTATAAAGGGAATAAAAATACTGTAATATAAGTGCTAAAAATTTTGTTTTTTGTTTTTTTTTATTTGAAAAAAATGCTTAATTGGTATACGATGTAGATAAATAATTTTATGAAAATGAAAAAATTGTGATAATATTAGTATATAAGTGGTTACATCAGATAGTTTTAAAATTAATTACTTTCGAAAGTATACCTACTCAATCTTGTTGATAAATGGGCCATTTTACTTGGGTTTTATTGTTAATTTATATAACTATAATAGTAATCATTAATTTATTTTAAGCATTTTATAAATGTCTATGATATAATGTTTTATAATTACAGCCTCTACCCTCTAAAAAAAGAATGAAAAATCATGAATATATAACTAATATTTAAATGAGTCGTTTTTTATTTTTTATGTATTTTTTTTTTTTTTTGTAGTTTCTTTAAGCGTGAGGATAGATAGATATATAATATTTAATACTTAGATATACTTATTTTAGATTATCAGATGGAAATTTCAAGAATTAAAATGATTGAAAATGAAAATTCGCGTCTTATCCAAGCAATAGATAAATCGAATCGAGGTAAGTTTAACATAACTTTATAATTCTTAAATAAAATCATTTAAATTAATTTTTTTATAACATAAGTGCTAATATGAATCTGTATTTTTATATTATCATAAACATACGTCACTCACACTATATTATAATATAAAAGTAATATTAATTTAATTTCACTAATATAAATAAATATTGTTCTAATAATATATGTAAGAATATAAAACATTTTTACAAGCGTCTTTTACAATTTTTATCAGTATGTCATAGTAAAATAATACTTACTATAATTAGTTCGTAAGGAATTAGAAATCGCACTAGAATCATGCCATGAAGTTGTTTATAAATATCAAACAGACGTGGAAGTCGCCAGGCATAAAGTTGAAGAAGCAATTAAAATGGTAGAAAAAACCTATTCAGAAAAGGATAAACTTTTAACGGATTTAAAAGAATCAAATGGTTACTATATTTTGTAAAATTTAAAACACATGTATCTTATTAAATAAATTTCCAATCATTTGCATTTCAGAAAAAATTGAAATATTAGAAAATGAGCTATCAAATGTAATACAAGAAGCGGGTAAAAAAGTCAGTTCAGCAGTAGAAAAGGTGAAAACTATGTATAAAGACAAATTACGTGAGGCTAATGTTGAAATTGAGTTCCTACGTACGGTGTGTATTATAAATACCCATTAAACCCTTTTTCTCTTATTATTTAATAGCCATTAGTATTAAACTATGATAGCTCATAAATAATAAAAAAATTACTTAATTAATAAAATTGTCTAATTAATTCAATTATGCGTTAAATAAACTCAAATTCATCAATGTTAGAATACATTTTGGATGTAAATACTTTTAAGATATCTTTGAATTAACAAATTGATTTATAGAACTCTATAAATTCCAGGAAAAACAAATTATGTTAAATAAAAACCAACAGATATCAAGTGAGTATGAAATTATAAATAAGAAGTTTAAATCTATCAATCAGAAGTGCGAGAATGAGTCAGATGTATACTCTAAGAAAGAGACAATATTTGCTCAAAAAGTTAAAGAGTATGAAGTCACAATCGACAATTTAATAGCAGATGTTAAAATTCTAAAAGAAACAAATAAACAACTACAAGAGAGGTGTGTATAAAAACATAATATGTCTAATTAATAGTTAATATTATTTGTACTATTTCAAAAGAACTCGATAACATCTTCATTTTGATTTAAATTTTACGTACTATATATTGTTGCAATAAAAATGTATTAAACTAATATTGAGTAAATGCCAATTGTTTTAATGAACAACTTAAATTTGATTATGACTATGACATCCTAAATATGTAAACATTTGAATCAAAGCCAAAAGAGTTATCAATAATTAAAAATATAAAAAAAAAATTAGTTAAATGTTCAATTACAATACAATACACATTTTTAAAAAATAAAATCTAAATATAACTGATGACTAATTAGTCAGTAATTACTAATTAAGAATCACCATTGGTTTAACAAGTATTAGAATACCGCTCTTAAAATCATTCTAGAAAATTTTGAAATTCAGACATTTTAATATCACTGCGTCTTGCTTAATAATTTTTATAGTATAACATAATAATATATTTGATTATGTCAAACCACCTTATAGTTTTTATATTATTTTTGGCTACTACACTTATATATGTATATAATTAGATAAATATTAATTATCTGATTTTATTTGTCGAATAATATAATATTATTAGTATTTACTTATAAGAAATTGTATTAAAATTTAATATTTAAACAGATACATCCAATATTAATGCTATTTATCGAATTAGATTGCATATTCTATAATTTTTGCAGAAATTGATTTACACATTGATTTTAAAACTGTTTATTTTCACGAAATACTTAGATTCGGGTCTACTATTATTTCATCGTTTGTCATTTGATAATTCTGAAAACTAAATTCATATAAACGTATAAGAAATATTGTTTTTATAAAATAAAAAACTTATTAATGTTTACAGTTATGCGAGAAAAAAAAACTAAGTATGTAATGGAAATAGAATTTTTAAAGGCTACAAAAAAATCACTAGAAAATCATTTAAACAAAGCAATGAATAAAATATCTGAAAACAATGGAATCATTTTGAGAGCATCAGATAGAATGAAAACGTTGGAATTGGAAATTAGTAAACTGTAAGGATAATACTGTGAACTGTTATAAAAATTATTACATTTAAAAAGTTACAAAAACATATTTTTTTTAAGTATGTATGACAAATAACATAAATAAAACAAATTTTAAAAATATACATATTTTTAACATAAGTTTTATACGAGAAATGTTTAAAAAATGTCTCACTACAGTTTTATAATTTAAAAAAAGTTTAAAATCAAAATATAAAATTAATTAAGTATCAATTATTCTAACTCACGTAAACACGTTTAATGATTCATAAAGATATTTATGATTTCCAAGTAATACCTTTAAAATTACTAAACAATTTGTGCACATGATAAAATATTTATATTCTAAAATAAAATTTTAAAAAATCATATCTTTTTAGGAAACGACCAGAAAACAATTTGGAACAAAAAGAAATGCAAATTAACGAACTTATTAAACACGTGGACGCACAAAAACAAATGATAGAGATGTAAGTTAAATTATATTAACACTTTAATTAACTATTTTTGAAGGGATTTAATACTAGTTTTACTAATTATTATTAATTTTTTTGAATAGTGAAAACCATTTGTAGTTATTGTTTATTATTAATAAACATAGTTAAAATAACTTGGTAGTTGTATGGCTAACTGTATTAATTATTAATTAATATTTTATTTCAAACTAAATTTATTTAAATCATAAACAAAATTAAAGGTGGAGAAAAGAAATGTACAATATTATAAAAGCATTCAAACACAAAATCAACGAACTAAAACATCGCAGCAGTAAACTTTATAAGAAAAATAGAAAATTAAGACGAATAATAGATAATTCAAAACCTCATTATTCGATTATAAAAAAAAAACTATTGCTCAATAGAAGGAGGAATAAAAAGTATGAGAAATATTTAATAATACAATCTATAAAGATACGTTTATTATCCACTAAAATTTTATATTGCTTTTTTTTTTAGATCAAATATTTCTTCAATTTCAACGTCAACGTAATCCACTGTGATAGATAATGATCGAATATATTATTATAAATCAAATATTAAACTGTTTATTATTTGGGTTTTGAATAATAGTTTGATTTCACAAATGGCATTTTCGTGACGACCATAGGTATCTTCTGTCCTCGGACCTCCGCTTGTATCTCAGTTCCGTTTTTGGCAAATTTACTGTCTACATAGCCCATGGCTATGTTCTGGGATAATGTCGGGGACGGGCATCCGCTAGTCACTGAACCGATTTTTTCACCGTCCACTACGTTAAATAAGACTGCTCCGCCCCTGACCGGAGCACCGTGAGCTTTTTGAACGAGGCCGACTCTCTTACGTTGCGCACCGTCGCTCAGTTGTTTCAAAATCACAGAAGCGCCGGGAAACCGTCGTTCGTCTCTTCTCTTACGACCTGAGAGGAAATAAATAACGAACATTTTACATTTTTAAAAACAAAACACATTATATATTACACTCTGCAATGCAACATTCCAAACGATGTAGGACAGGGCAGGAATATTGGTAGGGAAAACCATAAACGAGGGGTACAGATATTATAATATTATACAAGTTATGGAGGTATAATAATATATATTACACTTTTTATACATACTTATGGTCCACATCAACGCAGCTTCGACCGGCGTCGTTTCAATACTTATATCTGCTCCGTGCAAACACATACCGGCTTCCAATCTGCAAACGAAAATTGAATTATCATTTACATGATATTATTAGACGATCGTGGCGCGACGGCGACGAGATCAATAATAGTTATATAGCAAAATAGAGCAGATTGAGTCGGTCAGTTACTGTGCCTCAGAGTGTCCCTGGCGCCCAGCCCGGCCAATTTCACGTCGTCGTGGGCGACCAACGACTCAGCAATAGCTTCGACCCGATCGGAGGGCACGGATATTTCGAAACCGTCTTCGCCGGTGTAACCGCACCGGTTGACTCGGCAGTCCGGCACGCCGCAGACCGTAGCTGTAATGGAGTCCATGAAGTATAGCTTCGATAGATCGGTGGATTTGTCTACAACTGACTGAAGCACGTCCGCGGAACGGGGTCCTTGCAAGGCCAACAGCGACTGCTCATCGCTGTCCAAAAACTCCAAGCTCACGTCTTGACCGCTCGATTTGAAAGCGGACTGAAAACCCATCGGGAAGACATGAGACGGCGGTATTTAAAAGAGAAAAACTCGGAATGTGTTGATTGAGGAGATATTGTGAAAAGAGTTAAAACTAGTGAAAAACAGTGTCGAAATTTCTGAGCAGAGCTGATTTATCAATGATGTGTGTTCTTTTTTTGCCCGTCACCACTCCTTGGAGTCTTTGAATATGATTTTTGGTAGAAAATTGGATTTTATTGGTCTATTTCATCAAAATTTATAATTCTCAAACGCCTAATGAAATAATCAGGAAGAACAAGAAAAAAAATATAAGAAAACAACAACTATTAAGCGAAACAAATTTTCGACAAAACGATGTATGGTCTTTTGTTGAAATTCAAAAATGAATAAAGACAATAGACACTTAAATATTTCCCAAATATTTATATACATTTGATTCTTTTGGACTTTTTTTAGTTTATTTTCGATTTATGTTGAATAAAAATTTTGTTTTTGGTTAAAAAAAATACGTGCAAATATAACACTGTTATTATTTTAGAACCTTTTCTTTATAAGTTGAACTTTCAATATAAAAAAATACTAAAAATATAAATAGTTATAATTCCTTTATATCCGTTCAAATTTCAAATTTTTAAAAAATTTGTCAAAATCACTAATATATGGAGATTTAATAATTTAAATTCGCACAAATTTTAAAAATAATACTTATCAATAACTACTAAATTTAGAATTAATACTTGTGTTAAATTAGGCTTAAAAATTTAACACAAGGTTTCTCACATGTTTTTATGCTAAAAATGAAAATTTGTTACTGCTACTGCATACAATGATTTTCATTTGGAACAAATTTTTACCTACTTACCTACTCAATTTGTTTTACAATATTAAAAAAAAAAAAATTATACAATATATATTAGAATTAGATGATACTCACCAATTCTTCGGTTAACATTCGCATGTCCTGTTCCTTGCAACCAGCATTAGTCACCATGTACAAATAGTTTCCATCGGTTTTCGTTATGATCAAATCGTCCAGTATACCACCAGTCTGGTCGTCTATGAACAAACTCAGTGCACTTTTCCCCGTCCCCAAATCTAGACAACAAATTGTATCGATACAAATACATAGTCAATATTATCACCATCACATGCGCAATTATTATTTAGAGTAAATAATGGTGGGATTTAGGTACGTCCATATATTTTAGTATTATTAATATGTCCATAAAACTTGATAGCAATGTAGGAAATAATTGGTAGTAACCTGTAGGGTTTTTTTTTTAGCTATAAATGACGAGTAATCCCCTTATGAATTTTAATTCTTTTATAAATTAATTATTAATTATTTATTTTTTTTTTTTTTTGTGATTATTGATTAATTATTGAGTATTACTAATTAATAATCATATAACCTATGATATGTGATACCTAATAGCGATAACTAATAAAACGTATCTTAAAATTAGTCTCAACGTTTTCAACATTTATTTTTTTTATAATAAATGATAATTTAAGTAGTAGTCAAATATTTCAAATTTTACGATTAATATTCGTTGAATAAACCGTAATTATTTTAAGTTTAAATTACTTTTAATGTTTTCAAAATGTAACTAATATCGCTCATAAAAAATTTAAGTGGCTTTATGTTGAACTTGTTTTTGATTTCCAATAAAAAAAAAAACTAAATAAGAAATGTTGTGTTAAATCTTCTAGCCTTAGGTATTAAGCAAAGCTTTAGCTCACTCAGCCATAGCGTAACAATTTTGTGGAAGAGACAGTTTTTGTTTTTTTGTACTTACTCTGTACGTCCGTAACGCAAATCCGTTCCATGAACTGCTCTCTATGTTTGCCATGAATTTTCGTCTGCAACATATGTGACACGTCGAATAAAGAACACTGCCGACGTGTATGCAGATGCGAGGATGCTATGCTATCGGCATATTTGACTGCCATCATATAGCCGGCGAACGGTACCATTTTACCTCCATGACGGACGTGAAACTCGTGCAATCTAGTTTTTCTCGCATCGTTTGCGTATGATCGCGCTAAAAAGAAAATCAATTACAGGATTTCATGTACTTACACGCAGGTCGTGTCCACTTATCTCCAAAGTACATATAAGTAATGTATTATTATATTTTGTGATATCATAAGACATATTATATATTTAATATGTTTTATGTAAATACCTGCCAAGGTGTTCCTCTCACACTCACCTGGTGATCGTAGTTTGAAAAATATTAGTCTGGAATTCAGTTTAAACAGTGACATGGCTATCTATATGTTCAGTCTTTATACGATTGAACAAAACAAACATAATAAATGGACCTATAATGTTTTCAATCGATCAACGTTGATTACTCTATACACATGATTACATGAATATGATTCAGTAATAATCTATAATGGCATAATATACATACATTTTATCTTTCAAACTATAGGTGTTTAATGTTAACAATTTTTAATGTATAGCAATTTTTATCAATAAATATAATAGTAGAATTGATAGATACTATTTTAAATAAATGTATATGGTATGTCAAAGTTCAAAAATGTTGATAACTACATAGAAAAGAACAGTATACACACCTATTTAAATAATTTAATACACAAATAGTAGGTCTTGGGAGTAGACCAGAATATTAATAAGAAATAGTATTACGTATTATCATAAATTGTGATAGGTAATCAATAACTAATAAGTATTTAACTAATTTGAATCGATATAATAAAACTAAAAATAATCTAAAAATTTAACTATTTAACTTTGTGTATTAAGGATAATAGATACTTGTAAGTTATAATGAGTTTAGAATATATTATGAGTTCTATAGTTACATATAAATGTTTTTAATTAATATTAATCTATAAAAATTTATAATTTATAAAAATGGTCTGAGTAGAAAAATCATTTATCGAATATAACATATACTTGATTTTTGCTCTTAATTTAGGTAAGGACTTTAAACAATAATCTTAAATTGTGAAGCCAACAAAAAAAATATTCATAAAACTTCAGAGTTTAATAAAACCATTCTAATAATATAAAAATAATATCACTTAAATAAAAAAAAACATAAATTTTTTTAGGTAAATAAATTGTTATTTGCTTACAAACTAAAAATGTCAAATAGCTGCTTAAATATCATTTTCTACATGAATAATATTTGTTAATCATTTTTAAACATAGCCCAACAATTTAGAGATGAAATTAGTTGATTCCTAATAGCTGATAAAGAGTTGGAACATAATCATCGTACTGGGCCAGGTAAAAATTACCAGCCACAGGTGTTCCTAAATTGTACTTTTAATTTTAAGAATAATATTCATTATTGACAAATATTTATTATTATAAGTATCATTAATTTAAAACTTGACGTTATTTACAATATTGTTTACTTATTTCATTTTTATTATTATTGACAATTTATTTTATAATATTATTTTTTTTATTAGTATTCTTGATTTAGAACAGTAAATATTTTAAACGGGACTTAATTTACTGCTTTCATTTTTTTAGGTGGAATCCAGTTTACCTGAAAATTATAAAATAGGACTCAATTTATCGGACGTATCCGAGTTGGGTCCAAGATAACATTTATGATAAAGGTAAACAACTAATTGGGTCCGTCTATAAAAATGATAACATACTAATTGGGTCCGATTATAAAAACGATAACATACTAATTGGGTCCGATTGAAAAAACTGTAACTTACAATTATTGATATATGATATTGTCAAAAATAATGAAATTAACCCATATATGTATAAAAATATATAGCCAATATTCACTCAATAGCAGTATTCCAGATGTTAAATATTATACAATGTCAGTATAACTTGCTATTCCAATCCAGCTGTACACTTGAACCTACTTTCTGTTAAAATGGAAAATTTTAAATTAATGTTTAGTGAAAAAGGAAAACGCGTGTACGTTACACCTGACGGATTTAAATTTTCATTTCACAAGACTCTATCAAACGATGTTGAACGATGGCGCTGCGTACAAAGATCTTGTAAGTGTTTTTTTAAATATAAAAATAATGTATTGATCGACGAGTCATTATCACATAATCACGCATGTACTGAAGAAAGCATACTACTTAGACAAGCGATTAGTAATAGTGCCAAAAGAAAAGGCTTAGAAGATATTTGCGAAAGGCCTTCTAAAATATTGCAACGTGAATTAAAAAATGATGATCTCAATTTAACGCATAATGATTGTAATCTAATTCGAAAAAATATTTATAATGCTAGAAAAGCTATACAACCAAAAATTCCGAAAAATATTGACGATGTTCATAATGTTCTAAATGATTTAAAACTAACAACGAATCGAGATGAGCAATTTTTATTAGTTAATGATAAAGTTAGTAATATTATAATTTTCTCCACAGTAGAAAACTTAAAATTATTATGCTCGAAAAATATTATTTATGTAGATGGAACATTCAAAAGTGTCCCGAAGATGTTTACTCAAATGTTTACAATCCACACAATGCATAACAACCTTTACATTCCTTTAATTTTTTGCTTACTCAAAGATAAAAACACTCAAACATATGCACAAATTTTTCAGTTATTAGTCGACGAATGTATTAAGATTAATTTAATTTTTAAACCAGAATTCATATATGCAGATTTCGAGAACGCAATTCATTTAGGTGCTCTTTCCACATGGCCAGAAATTAATATTAAAGGCTGTCGGTTTCACATTGCACAAAGTTGGTGGAGAAAAATACAAACTTTAGGACTTAGTAATGAATATAAACAAGATTCTGAACAAGGTAAATACTTGAAATATTTTTTTGGATTACCATTCTTAAAGCCTGAGGAAGTTGCGGATTGTTTTATAGAAGATCTAATGTCTATTCAGCCAAGTGATCAACGAATACAAGAATTTACAGATTATATATTAAATAACTATATTGACTCAGAAGCAATTTTCCCCCCTAATATTTGGGCAGACTTCAAATCATCAACAATGAGAACGACAAATGCCTGTGAGTCTTTCCACGCTCATTTCAATTCAAAATTCTATTAAGCAAAGCCTAACTTATATCAATTTATCGAAGTCTTGAAAACTGTACAAATCGATAATTACATAAAAATTAGAAGTGGGCAGAACAAAAGGAAAATTATATTATTAAAAGAAAATTTTATTGAAGAAAAAATGATGGAAAAAATGTTGAATAAAATAAATCGTTTTGAATTCGTAAAAGCTCTTTCGTTTAAATTTTTACCAACTATATGAATATTATAAAATTTTTTAACATTTTATACTTTATAACTACTAATATTAACATTTTAACATTTTTTGTATTATTGTAAAAAAAATATTTTTAATCATACCTGTGTTCTAATTTATAGATCACTGACAGTCCTAAGTCTGTAAAAATGAGAAGGAAAATGTTTTTTTGCTAGGACCCAACTAGTGTAACACCCAAAAAAATCCCGGACCCAACTAGTGTGGTACCTAAAAACCACCGGGACCTAACTAGGTTAAATAAGGGTATTTCGGACCCAACTAGTAAACGCCGAATTTATCAAACCCGATACCTACGCCCCTTTTCTAATAAGTAGGCATACAACAGATCATCAGTCATCTTTAACAAATCGCTAATATATCTGGATGTTACCTTAGACTCCAACTTCCAAATACCTATAAATAATATACTAATAATATACTAAGTATATAACATAGGTATTAACACGGTGTTCTACTCAATTTAATATCGATTACAACAATACAAAATTTGTAAAATACAGCACATCTCAATATTTTGTTAATTTTCTATCAAACGTTGTACGCGTCAACACACATGTAATAACGGTATACGCTAGATTTTTATAGTATGATGAATAAAAAGACTTAATGACGTCATTAATTTATTGGTAAAAAATAAAAATCAATGTACAGTACCTACAAAGTTTAGTATACATTTTGTATACATTATGATGTTAATATTATTTTATATTACAAATTACAAAAATGTATTGCAAGTTTCCTCACCACCTTAGCCACATAATGAAAATCGATTTTATATCAACCTTAATGTTGCATGAGGTATTGCATGTGGCGCGTTTTTTTTAGTGTGGTTTCCCCGAGTATAAACTTTAGGCCTAATCCACACAGAGGATAATGGGTGAATACACTGCCAAACAGCTATAATGAGGAAAACTGTCACGATTTATCGTGTAATGCATATTTTAAGCTGAAATTATAATGGCTATAGTAAATTTTTGATTTAACAAAATAGTATTTCTTATGTGACCGAAAATCTCCCATTATCCTCATTAACAATGCTGAATTCAAGACGTATATGATATTAATGATGATCCAATAGATGCGATACTCTACAATTAAAATATTATATATTAATATTGTGAAATGATTTCGTTCATATTGATACATTTTTGTCAACTGAATTCAACAATGTTCACATACACCTGAAAATAAATATAATTAATGCCTACATATCCATTAATATTATTATACTGTATACACTATTAAAGCGAATAGTTTTAATTTAAATAAGATTATACAAATTATTTCTTAAATTATACTTAGGTACCTGATTACTGCCGCTTTTGTTTTAATAACCATGTAACAGAAAATAAACATATTTTTCACGTAACATTATATCTATTATACATACGTCTAAAATCTTAATCTGTGCGCGTAACTTATTTTACATAATATTCCAATTGCCTACAAACAGCTCCGAGTTGATCCAAGCAACTTGGAACAGTTTTGCTCTTCTAGTGTGTGCCCGGCCTTATATGTTCTTTTTGAATACCAATGCTAGCTAAAGTGATGTAGATAATATTAGAAAATATAAAGACACAATAATACTCGATGTCTGTTTGCATAGTACTCTTGAAAAATTATTCACTAAAAATAAACATTTAAAATTAAAATTAAGTTTTGTGAAACTAAACTACTACTGAAAAAAAAAACTAAGAATGAAAAAAATTAACAAATAAATAATTGAAGAATAAAAATAATATAAACCATGAGTTTGTGTTCAAATAACTTTACTGACAGACGATAAACATTAGGTTTAAATATTATTATATAATATGTGTTATTCTAATTAGCCAGCACAGTGTTATGATTTAACTGATCATTGATTTCTAGCCAACATATTCACAATATTATAAATTATAATATGACTATAGTTAGAATACCTACCTATATAAAAAAAAATAATAATATATTATATTGCTTTATTATAAGTTCAATACCGCAGTAATTATGTTTATTGAATTTATTTGTTATGATAAAGTATTTCATAAAAAAATATATCATTATCTAAGAAAACGTAATTTAAATATATTTTAAACTCCATCATAGATAATGGATTCAAATTTAAGTATTGAAAG